CGAGATAAGTCTAGTCTTCTTCCTATTTCATTTTCATCTTCATCAAACGCAGGCACAATGCTCCAGTCTAATAATCTTGATAAACTGGTAGCATCACAGATCCAATAAGAAACTTATTTGTAGTTGCTAAACGCTACGAAAAGCAAAGGATGCCCTCTTGGAGAACGAGAAGAGCGTCGAGTGCAGACTACACACCACAAGAAACGACAAGAAAAAAGAAAAACCCACTTTTTTCTTGGCCGTCGTCACTTGTGGTGTGTGGTCTGCACTCGACGCTCTTCTCGTTTTCCGAAATAGAGGGTAGGTAGCCGTTTTCTGAGAACAAACAAAACGGCCATCTTTTGACAAGAGTTATGAAACTTCTCAAATTTAAGACAATACTCGCGATACGCTTATTCCATCGTGAAAGTAAATGTGCCAATGTGTGTCTATGGGGCAAAACCAAGCGAAATTTCAAAAATTTGGCGAAAGGTAACCTCTCTTGCCCCGCTGATTTTAAATTTGGACCAACTAACCACGGCTGTTGGCATTTTGGTGGTCGTTGCTACAACTTTTTCTTTATAATCATACGATTAGCAGTTCTTATAGGTTTTCGCTAATAAAGTATGTACTCTTGCAGCGCAGAAGAATCATCCATACCCGGAAGTGAAAGCTGACACTAGTAGTGATTCAAGTTGGGACCAGGGTCAACCCTACGTTGTTACGAGTAACAACGGGGGGGGGGGTCGTACCTGGTTGAGTTTGTAGGAGGGGGGGGGTCGAAAATTTCCGGAAGATATTTACGTTTCAAGAGTGACTATATACCCCCCCCCCCCCCCCCCCCCCGCTCGACGGCATTTTTGGAGGAAAAAGTGGGCGGGGTTTTGATGGAAGATGGAGATGGTGGAGGTAGGGAAAAGGGGGTCGTATCAAATCCACGTTGGGGGAGGGGGGTCGTAAAAATTTTTCGAAAAGTAACAACGATAGGACAGACCCTGGTTGGGACTGCGGAAAGGTCCCAAATATTCTCTACATGTGTCCTCCCCTATCTTCTAGACTAGACTTGTTTCCCTTTAATGAACATCAATCTTTATCGGGAGTTTTGTCTTTAGCGCTCAAAACGACGGATGTTTTCTGATCGGCTTTGTAATATTTGTCTTGAGAGTAACGATAAAAAAAAATCGGCACTCAGTGCCTGGAGGGGAGGAGGGCAGCCAAAATATGGACGATAGTAGGGGCATTAGCACTGAGACGAGAGGGGAGAAACGTCAGATGTACAAAAATTGCTTACATCCCCCTCCAGAATCTCCCTCTCCCCAAGGCTGAGTCACAAGTTTTATAAGTGGCTCACTCATTTTGACCCCCTCCCCCCTAACGACAACGGCACCAGAAAATCAGCGTTTTCACATCATCATTCGATAACACTGGTTAATTCCGCTACACCTCATTGCCCCTTACGAATACATTATGCATCCGACATCTTCGTGGTTATTCAGATGAGTCCCCTGTTCTTCTACATTGTTCCCTGCAAAGTACAAACGCTACCTACCTTGAAATGACCTGAATTCTTTTCGGTGATTCAGATGAATGTTGCAGATTTGAACGCCGTCATTGTTGGGACGCAAAGCCGCGGCATTGTTCTTCTGCCGTATCAAAAGAGCACCAGTCGGCAGTCGAATTTACCGACATTGAGGCGCCACTCGAAATCTATTCAAGGACAACATTTCCATGTTTTCGCCACTTTTCCATGTTTTCGTTTTCGTCACTTTTCTTTGTTTTCTGCTCTGCCCAGAGCGCCAATCTCTTAGCTTCTATTGTAACAACGGCAGCAGTCTGGTACAGCTGTCTTCCCGACTGCAGTAGTGATAGCGGCAGTAGTGAAGTATTTTTCAATGTGATGCCACTAGAACTTTTGGTCCGTGAATTGAAGAGGAAATTTATCTTCAATATTTTTTGTTTCTTTCTTTCAGCTTACACTACAAAACGTGAACTTTAATTAAAAAAGCAATATTAATACCTCTTCTTAATTAAGGGCTTTCGAATTTATTGTATGTAAGAGAAAAAACGAGTTCATAAACTCGCTTCTCGGCCTTTTGGCTAAGATCAAAGTTTAGTTTAACTCTCGAGGAAGAAGATGCTAGACCCAAGTCAGTTTCCGAAGCAAGCAGGCTACTACCCGATTCGTATTTCTCCTACGCAGAGTCAATAGCCGGCTGGTCAAAGTTCAATGCGCCTTCAGGGCAGTACTTGCCCTTGTTCAAGAGAGTCTATTCGGTAGAATGGGCATTGTGTTAGGTCTGAAAGACATAATAACAGCAACATTTCCAGAAAATGCAAAAAAAATTCACCAATAAGTTCTGAAAAATTTTAGAAAAATTTTCATTTTTTGCTTCAACAGTTTTGAATGTTCCACCACTCGACGAGAGCACGAGGGTTCTTGGGTAGGCTGCCAGGCTTCAGGCAGGAATATGATGGAAGCCCTGGATAGAGGTAGTATGGAGACCATCGCGGAAAGATGAGAGGTGAGGGCCATAGTCGACCGCCGCGTTCGCGCAACTTCAAAAATGACAACCCAACAACTCTCCCAAAGAGGGGTCTGGTACGACCCCCGTACAACAGATCTGGGTCCAGTCAATCGGAATTAGCGATGCGCCGATGTGTTAGTGTAATATAAGATATCACCCTTTCCGCGGGCAACAGATTTCTCTCATGAGGCGAGAAAAGGAGGCGAATGAGGTGACAACTTTCAAACAGATATAAGCTCCTCAATTTGATAGTTTTCAGAAGTTTGGGAAGACATGAAATCCACAACAAATTTGCATCAAGAGGGCTATCATTATCACCCCAAAAGTTGGAAATTTTTGTCACTAAGAAGTAGAGAATTTGAATTTTGGCACTGCGAACCAACTCAGTGAGCAACTGTTTCTTACAAAGGTCTTAACATCTTCTGCAGCGTGGTACTTTGGAAAGCTGTAGAAAGATTCAAAAAAATTGAATATCCTTGTTTCTAAAGAGTACTAAAAGTGTTGAAAACTCCAACATCTTCAAGAAGTGGCCCGTTTGTGTTTTTTTTCGTGAAAGTGCGAGATTTCGGGCTTTGAGCATACCTTTTTTTCCTTTTCGTTTCTAGAGGAAGCTCTTGGCCCAACAAAAAAGTACAGAATTCAAGCTTCCATACGAGCGCTTAACCCTTTCTCAAAGTTCATCTTTCGAAAAAAAAAACCATACACTCGGACTTTTTGGAAGGTTGTACAGGTCTATTTTTTTGAAAAGGCGAATTCTTGGCCTTTCACTGCTCGAGGCTTTCTCCGTCTGGGATGGCATGGATGTGGAGGAGTTGAGCTTTTTTACAAGTACTTGGTCTTTTTTGGATGTTCACTTTCTGGAAAAAAGTACACGTCCGGACTTTCCTCCCACGTGAGCGGTAACTTTTAGTTCTGGGCTCGCACAATCATAACTTTCTTGGAAACTTGTTGTGGATTAGAGGCACCTTTGAAAACTGTGAGAGTTGAGTTCTTTTACGTTTACCACACCAGTCTTCAAGATTCTCGAAGAAGCTTCCTTCAAGAATCTGGCTTCTACGAAACTTTGCTTACAGCTGCAAAACGTAGATCCATTCTCATCAATGCACACCTATTAGTCCTAGCGGGAGAGCAGGAACTTGGAATGTTCCTCATTCTCCTTGTAAGCTTGGGTCGATCTAATGAGAGACTCTCGCCTTCTTAGCTGCGCCATGATACCACTGTACATCGCAGCGTCATTGAAAGAGGAGCTGTGAAGCAAAAAGACAGGGGTAGATGGTTGGCTTCCTTGGATTACACCTCCCCGCCATACTCAACAAGCGGACTACGATCCCTTCCGATCGCATACTTCAAACGGACAGTTGACTATGGTGGAGACTTCGCTGGTACCGGAACCTTCCCAATGCAATGGTAGAGTCGGCTCAAATGCTCCTTCGACTCTAACCACAACCGAGTACATGGCGCATCCCAGAGCAGAAGCCACGGCAAACCGGTCTATATGCGAACTTTATGAGCAAAAGCATCATCTCAAAGGGACCTCAATGTTTTCATACCAGACCTAAGTAAGGTACAGAGCAACCACTTGGGCGCAAACTCTTGAAGAGTTAGAAGAAAACGTTAGGAGAAGAAAGTTTCGTGATTCTGCGATTTCCAGGATGAATTTAATGTACCATAAAGCAGAAATTCGTAGATTCTCACGGCGCTCACCTTTTTCCAAAAAAAAATCTGTTTTGAAAAAAGTAACAACATTTTGGACTCGCACTTCCAGGAGCACGACCCGTAAAGAGAAAAAACCGACTTACGACGCTAAGTGCGCTGAATAATCATGGGGACGCTGCAATTGTGAATATTCTCATCTACAAAGCATATTTGATGTAATGTCATCCCTTCAAAGCGCAACTACAAAAAAGTTACACTATTTGGCCCCCAGCTCAATCGTACCGTTTCTACTTTTAACAAAAGTTTTTTTTTAGTTTTTACGCCGCTGCAAAATCATAAAACGCCATAGCCTTTTTTCGAAATCTCAGTCTTCTCCTCAATCCGAACAATTTCCATCGCGATGATAGCAACAAGCTTCACCTATTTTACTACCTTCCCGCTCTACTCTTTTGTTTTTATTATATACGCTGTTCAAGAATTTGGAAGTATTAGCCACAGATAAATGTATTTGAGGCATTAAAGGTCTACATACACACAGATCTCCGAGGAAGGGAGGGGGGAAGGTCGTTAAAAATTCTGAAAAAAAAGTACCAACACTTGAGTTGGCCCTGCCCCCCAGTTTTTTTTGTTTTGCTCTGCAATGTTACGGAGAAGGGGGGGGGGCGCACTGGTACCCCTTTGAAAGAAAAGGTCCAAAAATTCTTGAGTTTGGCCCTACATTACTGTCTGGCGCTAAGACGGATGGGGGTCAGATTAGCTACGCACTGAATCCGCTACGGGACACTTTACATATCTTATTAATGCTTCGAGGATTATCAGTGCTACAGTATTTGCAGAGTGATGCGGACACTAGTTTTGTGCCTATTTGTGCCGCTCATGTCAGCAGCACCAGAATTGGAACAGATCAAATCGCTGCCGAACTTGGTTGAACCAATGCGTTCGAAGCAGTATGCAGGATATGTGGAGGTTTCTCCAGTGAAGCAACTTTTCTACTGGTAAGCAGGAACAGATAATCTTATTACTGCCGACCTATGGCAAGAAAAATTTTTCATAACAAAAAGTAAAGATTCATGCAAAACGATTTGCACTACGATTCGGATCATTGCCAACACAATCACTTCGCTTTGTCTATTCATTCACGCCGGGTGGAAATGAAATTTTCTCGAACGATACAGCAGAAAGTAACTAATCTTGAATCTATATCACCCTTTTTTCTAATAAGCAAATAGACCAAAACTTCCTGGTTTGCAAAAGATGACAAGGATGCTCGCAATTGCATGCGCAACATGGAGGCGCGATTCAGTCGGGTGGTACCATCTATTCCGCAAAACGAGAAGATCTTGGAAATGAAAGTGAGTTTTCTTCTCTTTTTTCTTGGCCGTCATCACTTGTGGCGCGTGGTTTGTACTTGATGCTTTTCTCGTTTTTCGAAATAGAGGGTACGTGCTATGTGCCAATGAAGAGAAAGCAAATCACTGCTATAGTACTAAGTTCGTCTTGTACTAGCCGATACGGGGTGTTGAAGAAGCTAAAGTCAAAAAAGCGCGCGCTAGGGAAGGAAAGAAATAGGAATAAGGCAGGAGAGGCGTAGATGCAAGCGTGTAATAATGCGTATGGCGCACAGAGCGCAGACCACGAGTCATAAAAGACCCTGTCCCGCAAATAAAAGCCGTAGAAACTGCAAAACCCGTGTGCTTACAGATCTGTCCATCTTTCAAGCAAGGAGAATTTCAATACTAAGTGAAGGCCTAATAATTCTCGCTCGAGAGGGCTGGGGAGCGCGCAGCAGAATCGTCCGGTCGTCGCGCCGTCGCGCGCCGACACTTCTGCGGCGTTACGGCGCGGCGTTTTCCGATAGGCGCGGGATTTTCGAATTGACGTTGGAGGGAGCAGTGAATTTGGTGCGGTCCACAGTTGTATATGTGGATATCGAATTCCAACTTGCTTGTTCAGGCTCTTCCATAGGAAATAGAAAACGGCGTGACAGGTTCGTTTTCAAAGATCATTATAATATTGAAATCTGCGGAAAGAAAATTTTAAGGGAATCGCAAGTATCCGCGCATTGGTTGATGTTGGATGTGTGTGAAGATGTTACAGGGACGGACCTGCTTGGAGTGCCTTTAACATTTGAATTCGAATGGCGCACTCAAAAACTCGTCTACTGCATTTGCGACGTCGCGGCCAAGAGCATAGCGCTGGGATCCGGACAATCCTGTTGGCATACACCCGAGGGGACCCGACAACGTCTTACTCGTGTTTCCTGCCGCTTTCGTGTTTCTGGCAGTGCAGAAGCAGTGTGTAAAAGTGTCATCCATTTAGCTTCTTCAGCGCGAAAATCAGCTGACAAAACGGAAAAGTCCATTTTTCAAGTAACCTCATTGGGTTTCTTACACTGAATATGGTTATGCTCAGATTTTCTCTCTTCACTGCCAATAACTCTAAAGAGCTTACCAGCTTTGATCAGGTTCCAATTATGGAGTTTCCCGTTGGGCAAACTTCTGTATCACCACTATCACGCTCACCTCACACCAACGCCTCCCAATCTTCTGAAGACCATCTTTGCTCTTTTCGCTGTCCCACGCCTTAAGCTAGCACGTACTTCTTTCCGAACTTCTGTCGTGCGCGAGAAGGGAGAGGGGCCATGAGTTTGCATATTCTTCCTTACTGTAGCACCACTTAGCAACTCACCTTACACTTTCAAACACCAACAGAATCAACGCGCCCACTGCTTTCTGCGAATGGGGTTCCTTTAGGGGAAATAGATTGACCGCCCATTTCTCTACACATGAGCTTGTCTGACCGCTCCGTATCCTCCATTTTAAGGTACATTGAATCAGAAAGCAATCCTGCAAACGATCCCTTGGTGCTGTTTTTGAATGGAGGACCTGGATGTTCGTCACTCCAAGGGCTATTTCTGGAAATGGGACCATTCAGGTATGACCCTACAGCATTTAGCCTGACGGTAGGGAACTCTGAAACCGATTTCAGGGTCAACAACTACGGCGAAACTGTTACCAGAAATCCGTGGACCTGGAATCGTGTGAGTATTTCCAGACACCAGTACTCAATTTTCAAAAATGTGGTGTAGATTCGATAGACAATTATCACGAGGTTCATGATACGTAGAATGCTGCATAAGTCACGACGCGGCGACGTGCCGGAGGGTGTCCCGCGCGGTATGCCTGCCCATCAGTCGATTCCAGATCAATTTCGCTATTCTCCACACTCCACTCATCTTGACTCGTGTTATTTAGCCGTATCAGCGCTTTTATCGGATCCATAACGAGCAGACCCCACGACGCAGTTATGGCGCGATTTCTTGTGCGCGCTGCGCGACGCATACGCCGCAGCATGACCTAACAAAACACACTTTGCGACCACCTCTGTGAATAACCACATTCCCACGCCACTTGTGTTGGGAGCAGGGTCAACCCTACGTTACCCAACCCGTACTTGGTTGAGTTTGTAGGAGGGGGGGGGGGGTCGTACCCGTTTCAGTCGCTTGAAATCACGTGTGGGATTGAGGTGAAACTAAGTTTTCGTGGGTAGTAGGCTGGGTGAGTGAGGGGCGCAGGATAAAAATTTGCCGTTTCAGCGCGCGTATATACCCCCTAGAAAATGAAGTAGTGGGAATATAGGTAAATATAGGTAAAAGCCGGTAAAAGTAGGAGTAAAATGGCGGAGATATAGGGAATTTTTACTGTTTCAGAGTAGCTATATACCCCCCCCGCTCGACGGCATTTTTGGAGGAAAAAGTGGGCGGAGTTTGGTGGGTTGAGTGGTACAGAATTAAATACTATAGAGAGGATGATGGTGGTCGAGGTGTGGAAAAGGGGGTCGTACCAAATCCACCTTGGGGGAGGGGGGTCGTAAAAAATTTTCAAAAAGTAACAACGATAGGGTTGACCCTGTTCGGGAGCTTTAGCATTTAAAGGCAAACTCCGGGATTGAACTAGGTGCTATCAGCGCTCTGTAGTGATAGCTTAGCTGCGGAACGACCTGAAAGTGGAAGGAAAGCAAGAGAAATCTTGGGAACGCTGAAACTAAGGCCTTAACCTTCAATAGGGTCGGATGTGGTACGATGGCGAGAAAGGGCGGTCAAAGAAGACAAAATACGCGAGAGAGCACGTCGTTTGAGAGAGCACGCTGATCTCTACATCAATGCACGCTGATCTCACCACCTCTCGCGGTGGGTGGGAAGCGTTGGAAAGGGGGTCGATGGTTGCGGGCCCGTAAGGATAGCGCAATTTTTGCGACGAAGCTGGAGTGATCTAGGTAGTTACAGACCTTGCAATTTCCCTAGTGGTATCCCTCCTACTAGTCGGGCCAATTCCCGGGGTTTACCTTTAAACAGTAGAAGATGTAGTGAGAAACTCGTACAAGAGCAGGAAGTTTGCAGTACGCAAATATCATCTACTTGGACGCCCCAGCTGGTGTTGGTTTCTCGGTTCGCTTGGATGGCCTGTGGAATTACACCGACACAGAAGTCGCCTCTGACAATTACGTTGCATTAAAGGAGTGGTTTAAGGTATTCTATATAGTAAATTGATCTGTATCATGAATGTGAAGTGTTTTCTTTAGAAATTCCCTGAACGTAGGATGAACGACTTCTACGCAGCAGGCGAGTCATACGCTGGCACATACATACCAATGCTTTCATCCTTTTTGATTGATGATTTGGGCATTAATTTCAAAGTAAGTGCTAGAGTTCTTCGGTGAAATCCCTGACAAAATCAGTTCCTAGTGCTCAGGAAATGAAAGCATGCAGCATAACAGTAGAGTTTTCTGTAGCAGTCACTGAAATCGCTGCTCCGGAAGCTAAAATTGCTAACCTGAACAATGTTACCGAACTTTCCAGCGGGCCCTTAGAACTTGTACTTGAACTCATGTAAGCACTTTTGGTAGCCTATAGGCGCCAAATGCGTTCTCTAGTCCATATACAAAACTAAGTAGGCGTCCCTGAAACTGTTCCGAGTTGGGATGAAGGACTTGCTGACTTAATGTCTTGCTATTTACTTCATTGAATTCAGCGCTCTGTGGGTCTATTTTCTACTACAGAAAGCACTAATACGACCTCTTTATGTCAGAAAGCGCGTCAACTACATCTATGAGAAAATGAGAAATTCAAAAGTCTCCTGTTAGAAGTATAAAAGCACCCTGGGCGGGAGGATTTTACCAGTAAACTTTTTTGCTCTGTCAACTCATTTGAGATAGTGTGGGCAGGCTCAGTGGAGAGAGCACACCACTTCTTCAATATGTCTGTACTGTTAGAGTTTTCTGCAGAAAAAGAGCATCAGATGGTACCTCGATGTCTCGATAGCACACTTAAGTTCTTCTACAATACTTTACTGCTCGCTTCCAGCGTAGATCTACCTTACAATAATTTCACAGATGTTTTCCATAGGATTTAGACCCAAGCTGCGTGCGGCCAAATCCATTACAGTCGATTTTGTTATACCGCTGTTTAGCGGATTGGCTGCAGTGGACGGCGGCTTTGTCGTAAATGAAGATGAAAATCCACTGGCGCTTCTCACCTAAGAACGACAGTAAGTGATCAGCAAGAACATCATCATAGTTGCGAAGTCTGTCCTACTCCATATACAGTACAATGCAGCCCATACCACTTCTGAAGAGCCACCGTTGCTTTTCCAGCTGGAAAGCGGTGGACATTTTCCGAGACCCTCCCTGCTGTGATATCCATCTGGTACCCCTTACTTGAACTTATTCTTATAGGGAGTGAATCCCAAACCCAAAAGAGCCTTCACTAGCCACCATGAAATTCTTTCCTACCTGTGAAATCACTTATTGAATCCCAGTCAGTTCCCATGTTCCTCCAGCTATACCGAGGCGAGCTGTTTCGTAGTACTTACCCAGTCAAAAAGCCTTCATCATGAACTTTCGCACAATATTTAAAGTAGAGTAGGCATCTCTCAAGATGAGAATTCTCGATGCGGATAGCGAAAAATTATGCAGGATCCGAGTTACTTACTGGTATAAATGAATAGCAGTTGCCGATTCGTATTCAAAAGATACTTGTGGCCTCCCAAAGATGCTCCTATTTCCAGGTAAGCTGGGATTTTTTTAGAAAATTGTAATACAGCCAGGAGATCGATCACGTTGAGCACCTAAAAAGAAGCATTTGACCTTCGCATCAGCTGTTCTCAGGGGGAAAGCTGAATCGCCCAGGTTTACTGAAAAAAATTGATGTGCTTCACTAATCATGGTCCCAGAACCGCAAATGATCGGGAGGGAAGAAGAAAGTTCACCGGTTAACTTCTCTCGCCCAAGGTGCCTTTATACTTTTGAGAGAGGGACCAACCTTTCTTGAAAATGTTACTAGCTCATATTGTTCTCTGAAATATAACAGAATGAAATGTAGTTTCAGTGCATACTGAATTCAATAAATCAGGTAACAATATCAATTCTTCATCGTAACTTGGAACAGCAGCTTTCAGGGGTGCTTTCATACTTTTGAAACGCATTACTGCCAGATACTCTTCTCAAAAAACCTCTGAGCACTCAATCTCACAACCTCTTGCTTGTGAGTCCGGACTACAACCGCTGCACTTTTCGGCCTTACAACTACGTTCAAAAAATTGTTTAGCAGACAATAAAAGCATATTGTCTGTTGAACAATAAAAAAAATACTTAAGCCCAGGGACTCAGGGCGCGTAATTTGAAACAATTTTTTTTATTCTAGGGTATGCTAATAGGGAATGGTTGCATTGATGACATTCTAAACTTTAACTCTCTCGTGGATTTCAACTACAATCATGGATTTATTGATGAAAGGTAACAGATGATGATGTGTACTCAGATTTATCTTTATCTATCAACAAATTCGAAGGCTTCAAATATTTTAGTCAGGTTTCAGGAGTAAAGCATTCTCCGGCTCAACTTCGGGATCACTAAGACTCTCCTACTGAGATAATCTCCGTATCTCCACCCTTGCTCCTTTCCCCGCTCCGCGCTCTTACTAATAGGTTAACATTTACTGACTCTCCACTTCTCAAACCTCTGCCGTGAGAGACGGTACAGGGGGAGGGGGATAAATTTTCGAATAGAAATGTCAGCAAACTTGCAAGGATCATAGCAGATTTTAGCGAAAGTACCTTGCAACTAATAAGAACCGTAAGTCGAAGGCACATTCTGTGATAATGGGAGCTGACCAAAGGCGAAGCTTGCGATCAAGGAAAGGGCGATGACTTTTCAAGCAATGTTGTGTGGCTATGTGTTACGTGCAACTTAAAAATAAAAGAAACTGTCGAGAAAGGAAGAGATGATTATGAACCTTCTCATCACCAGCCCTGGGCGTGGTTATTTGGAAGGCGCACGTTCGGACGAGTTTACCAAACTCTAGCTTCAATGCTAGTTGCTGCTTTATGCCAGCAATCGCGGCCATGGAAATTCACATTCAACGGCCCTTCAAGAAAGGAACAGGAAAGGGAGACATTTATCACCAACGGTGGCACCGCCAGAAACGAGACAGCGTTTTCTGGAAGCGCCGGAGTTACAGCCAACAGCGGAAGGTGGGGCTTGCAAACGAGGCGTGCATTGTGGGTAAGGTGAACTTCAATCATCTTCCTGAGCCTTTCAAGCCACGACAGCAGCACGAATTGAACGCTTGCCTGCCACCCTACCACGATCGGAGATGGCGACGGGTGTACCTGATGGCAGATCGTGCCTTTGGATACACTCAGCTATGATGGAGGCGTTAGGTAAGTGCTTCAGCGGTGAGGAAAAATGAAAGGAAAGCGGACAGAACACATTACCCAAGAGCATCTGTTTTTTAGTCCACAAGACATAAAGAGACAAACAATATGTGAGACAAAGGCGGTGAGGCGAGGGTACAGGCGAGCAAGACGAAAGAGTGAGCGGCCGAGCGAGATAGCAGGCACTGGGCAATGGTTGGTGCAGTGATATAAGGAGCTTACTCTGCCTAAAGTCCTAAACAGCGCCCTTGCTCATTTAATTTCATGAATGTGGTACTGAATCACGATTGTGGACCCAGCAAACTCATTCGCTGAATGGAATGACTGAGGGACAATTCCATAATGGACCTTTACACATTGCAGAACAATAAGTTGGAGTGCTCAATCAAACCGTTTTTTAGGTATTATCGACAATCAATAGAAAAATGTTGCAACAATACTCCAGATCATTGCAATTTCTACGGCCTATCCATAAACGAGACTGGATTCTGCTACGACGAGGTAGGTTTTTATTATTCTATTGGAAGGATCTATCACTAAAGATAGGCACATCAGTTGAAATCATATACGGGTGCTCAGTTATGGACAGACCGTTTTGCCTCGATTGGGACTCGAACCCACGTGATTTCTGAGCAAGCAGGTTGCTATCGAGTATTTAGTGAACAGGGCCAGAGCCTTGCCAATTATTACATCCCTGCTGGGGAGTTTGAGCTGCAGGTTCGAGCCCCAGCAGGGACTTTTTGCCTGAAGCTCAGCCACTTGTGAGAGCATACGGATTGCGAACTGCGTTGAAAAGCTGCAGCTGATAAAACAAAACGAATGAGAAAGATATAAATGTATTCAGGCAAATTATCTCAATTCTGCTAACCTCTACACGGGACTTGATCCGTACTTCATATACTATTCCTGTTATCTTGATTCTGACGATGCGCCTGTTTCTGCAGGAATGGCTAGTGTGACGCTTCATTCGCACATTCGTAGAAAATCATTCCGTCCTCAAGTAAGCATCTTATTTCCTGCCTGAAATCGCGTTTTCAACTTCTACCAGAGAAATCATTATTGAAGGTTGGGGCTCATGGCACTGGTGCCAACGAGCTAACCAGAAGTCTTTCAGACCGTGCCTCGCTTTTTCAAAACAAATTTTTGCACCATAGAAGCACATCTGCATGGAACTGAGCTATGCTTCATTTATCCTTAGCGGCCCTCGAAGCCAATAAGAAGAATGAAAGATGAAGATGAAAGAGATAGTTCAATTCCCCGTGATGGAAACGTTTTGCATTCCCGATTGGCGCATATAAGAATGGATGCTGTATCACCATCAAGACGATCAGTAACCCGTACAAGTAGATGTCTATCAAAAACTGGTGTTAAAAATATGTGGCACTAGAGCTTTTTTGAGGAACCAGCCCAGCGATAAAATAGGTGTTGTAAGAGCGTTCAGTAACGGAGCTCTAAGTGGGGAGTGGTCTGGAAAAGAAAATACCAGAATAAACACCACCTCAATTTTAGCCGCTCCCTCTTGAGATACCGGGGTACCCGACAGGAGGCCCGTCATACGGCACGTGTAATGTGCAGTTTAGGACGTACAAGGATACATTCTACTTAACTTGACGCGAAATCACTATAGTACGCGATGTGACTAGTCCGCTGATTCTGCCTTCTTGCCTGCATGGAACTGATGAGCTATGCTTCATTTATCCTTAGCGGCCCTCGAAGCCAATAAGAAGAATGAAAGATGAAGATGAAAGAGATAGTTCAATTTCCCGTGATGAAAAAGTTTTGCATTTTCGATTGGCGCATGTAAGAATGGATGCTGTATCACCATCAAGACGATCCGTAACGATATAGAGATGTCTATCAAAACTGTGTTAAAAATATGTGGCACTAGAGCTTTTTTTAGGACCATCGATAAAATAGGTGTGTAAGAGCGTTCAGTAACGGAGCTCTAAGTGGGGAGTGGTCTGGAAAAGAAAATACCCAGAATAAACACCACCTCAATTTTAGCCGCTCCCTCTTGAGATACCGGGGTACCCGACAGGAGGCCCGTCATACGGCACGTGTAATGTGCAGTTTAGGACGTACAAGGATACATTCTACTTAACTTGACGCGAAATCACTATAGTACGCGATGTGACTCGTCCGCTGATTCTGCCTTCTTGCCGCACGACGGGCCTTCTATCGGTTATCCATCTGGACGAGTTTGCGAACCCAGCTCCGTTGCTCCAGTGCCAGTGACATTGAACCGCAATGCAACCGCTGCCGCAACTGCGCCCGCGCTTTTCAAGCAGCGTCACGTGGCAACCGACAGCGGAAGGCGGGGCTTGCGGACGAAGGTGTGGATTGCGGGTCGAGTAAGCTTCCACGCTTCGCTGCGCACTTTCAAGTCGCCATAAGGGGGGGGGGGGCGACACTAATGCTTATCGTTTGTATACTACGCTCGGATATGGAACAGGTGAGCATGACTGATCCCTATGATTTTAACCACTTTTTGGCATTCAGAGAGCCGCTCAGGCAAAACGAATCCTAAGTTCTGTGTTCCCTGTGCCCCTACATCATGTGAAAAAACGTTTGCAAAAAGCTGCGCACGACCTGGAAGATGTTCAAAGGGGACGTTTTCAGTTGCACAGGAAAAGAAAAGCAATCTATCGTGTAGTCCTGGTTTCCCGACCGTTACCATATCTATAGCACTGCATACGTACCAATTGACAAAAGCCCCCAGTTACAGTTACAACCAGCTTGTGCTCATCACAATGACTCAGTTGTTTACCTTCAACGAGAGGATGTTCGTGCAGCACTGCGAATTCCAGACAAGGTTCCCGCCTATGAGACATGCAAGTACGTTATCAGTCAGGGAATGATATCCTACCATTCTTCAAAAGTCAATCCATGTTTTATTCTCACAACAGGCATCGTGCTCCCACACTCGAAGGACGATGCCTGCTGTGAGTATAAAACACGACCAGCAGCAAAGCGGGCCAGCCAGGGTTTGGCGCCTAAGGCCGATGTCAGACTTTGCGAATCGCGCGATTCGCTAGCGTCCGCGGTCGCGTTGCGGTACCAGCCAATTGAGTGATTCACTGGCCGCGACGCGACCGCGGACGCTAGCGAATCGCGCGATTCGCAAAGTCTGACATCGGCCTAATAGTGTCGTATCTAGGGCATCTTCTGCCCGAACAATGCCTCGTATGGTTCCGTCCACGGCCTTCTCTCCGACCTAGTCGGAACATTTCACTCATCTAGTCGTACAGCGTTTCTCCAAAGCAACAACCTCAGATAATGGTGGGGTAACAGCAAACCGCCATTAGCGAGGATTTCGGCTTCTCCTCTCTAAAATAAGGAAGGGGCGGACCGGACGAGTGTTCTGACTTCGCTTGCTCCACGGCTCCACTAACCTGCGCGCATGTGAACTGCTCGCTATGCTTTAATGCACGTTGTGTATCATGGAGTGCACGCGATGTATCTCACCCGTAAGTTCACATTGGCCATCAGATCACTTTTGAGGCCATAGCGCCATTGTTGCGCACTTTCGCCTGCAACAGAGGCATATCTGGGCTATTATATCCCACCCACAGAATAGATTCTTCGACACGACCTCATCTGGGGTTGTTGCTTTTAGCTTTTCCGATGGAAGCGGTAGCTCGGTTTGCTAGGGTGTTTTTATCCGCACCACTGTTATTAGATCTTTGGACCAAGGTAGCGTTGTCGCTATCCACTGATGCCTTGAGCCAACCGTTTTTGACGACGTAACAACACTAAAGCTCTCCAAATTAGTGCGAATTTCCAGGACGACTTGTATTGTTAGCACAGGTCTTAATCTTTTGAATTGTTCATAACTTACTGCTACTTCATGAAATCTACCGTTTCAGTATGGATATCTCTAACAATTATGACTTTGGACCTTCGCATGTTCTCTCTCAAAGTGAAAATGTCAAGAAAGTGATTGATGCTGGGAAATCCGTAAGCTTTCTACCATTTTCACTTTTCCAACATAAATCCTTGCTTGAAAACAGAGACCACGATGGATGGGAGGCGCATGCAATTCGACATACTGTAGTCAAAACGCCTCCCAACACCGATAAACCGTCCGTTTGTCCGATCCAGAGAGGAGGGGTCGCAAACGGGGTGACAAAGGTGGAAAAGTCGTAAGAATGTCGTCCTTCAGAAACTGAAGATTCGATTCGAAGTTGTGCCGAAGGGGGTCGGTTTTGAAGTATTTTTTTGGTAGCTCTTGGAAAATTTTGAACAAAAATAGTCATGAAATGAACAACATTAGAACATGCTATTTTACACACATATCTGGCTCCACCCCCTCGACGACATTTCGAGAGGAAATTAAAGTGGGAGGGATTGGAGCATGTGGACTGGTCTGACTAGAAACTGCCATGACGCTCAGAGTGGTTGGAACCCTCCTCCCAGCTCTCCTCCATCGATGTCATCTCCAAATAACCTTTACTTCCCACCCTCTCCTTGCCTTGATTTCTTCAATTCCCTTGAAGGCTGCTCTGTTCTATGGTGACGTGGATACGCTTTGTAACGCTGTCCATGGAGCTCAATTCGCTGCCAGTTTGGGTTTGCCAGAAATCACTCCATTGAGACCATACAGCGACAATGAGCAACTGCCTCCTACGATCGGTTTTCTCACGCAGTACAAAGGTGACACTTGAACATTCATTTTTTGAAATGGTTTTCTGATGACCTAATTGAATTCACTTCAGGATTGGATTTGTTGACTGTGCGGGGAGCCGGCCATTTTGTGGCAGCTACTAACGAGAAGCCAAAAGAGGCCCTACAAATTTTTGTAAATTTCATAAACAAGACTTCCTATGACACTCCCATTAGCCACGACATACCCTATGTGGCACCAAGTACAACGAAACCTCCAAGTACCACATCTGGAAGTATGCCCACAAATTGGGATGCGGCACCATGGCTAATCACCAGTTTACCAAATTTCGACGAACCACTGAGCTCTAAGCACTATTCTGGCTATCTGAGCATTAGTGAAACGAGAAAGCTATTCTATTGGTGAGTCTGTGAACCTTTTGAGGATTAATGTCACTGCACTCAAGTTATAGTTGCGAACAACATAGCGTGCCCATACTCGCCGGATATTCGATTCAAAGGAACCGATTACGACAAGGACGAAACGCATCGAAAAGTATAAATGCCTTACGAAGCAGTATCTTGGCCGCTGAAGAAGCGAGGTGTTGCTTTTTCACGACCAAAGGTGCGCTGGCTGCTGACCAGGAAGGTCTTTCAGGGCGTGCCAAGCTTTTTGAAAACGGTCTTTTGCATGATATAGGGGCACATGCGGGAACCACAGAACCATGGTTAATTTTTCCTGAACGGCCCTCTGAATACCAGAAAAGGGGTCCCTAGTTCGATTCCTCGTGGTGACAAATTTTTGCATTTCGAGTTGACGTTCCAAAATTCGCGCAAAATGGAGTTAGCATAAACAACGAATGCATACTCATAAGACGATCCCATTTTGCGCGAATTTTGGAACGTCAACTCGAAATGCAAAAATTTGTCACCACGAGGAATCGAACTAGGGACCCCTTTTCTGGTATTCAGAGGGCCGTTCAGGAAAAATTAACCATGGTTCTGTGGTTCCCGCATGTGCCCCTATATCATGCAAAAGACCGTTTTCAAAAAGCTTGGCACGCCCTGAAAGACCTTCCTGGTAGCAGTACTTGAAAGGTGTTCCATCCCAAAAGTTGGAACAGCTCGATCTGAATGGTAGCATGCCATGGTTTGGCAACCGCGTTGCGGTAAACTCGTCCATATGTATGGTCTTAGCCGTTGCCCGTCCATGAAGGAAAATTAACTGCGAAATAAGGTGGTCCCGTCTTGCGTTTTCCGACGGATTCCCTGCTTTTCGCCTCTGACATACCAGTGAGCATCCCCACATCCCCCCGAAACCCCTCTAGAATCTATCGTGTAATCGCTGCATTCGAGCCACAAACGCGAATAATGTTGTTTGTGAAGTTGGATGTGCAGATATCAGTTCTGGTTTCGAGAGCGAAAGATTTCATCACATCACGCGAATAAGACTGGACTAGACTTCCTCAAACCCAAGGGTACAGTCGTTCAAGATGATAGAGACAGTAAGTACGGGGTCAGTTGAAGAGGGAGCTATATGTGGTGACAGTCAAGAATAAGCAAAAGCAAACGAACCATGGGAAGTTGTATAAGAGTGAATTTTGGCCACTCTTCCGCACAGTGGACGAGCTGTCATGATAGCTGCCTCATCGACGCATTTGTCGCCTTTGCCTCTCTGCCATGAGATGCCACCATTTTCAGCAGCTGATTCACCGCTTTTTTGTACCTGTAAAAGAAACAGTAAGATGGGTGAATTCAGGAGGTAGGGTCAGCTGGTCTAAGCCTAACCTAGAAATGTCGCAAGTAGGGTTCAACTGACAATTTTGGAAGTGAAAATAACCGGTGATTGTATGCTTACAGGATTAAAATGTGAGAACTAATAGTTTTGTTCAGGTATATCGAGTCAGAAAACGATCCAACCAAAGACCCAGTTGTTTTATGGCTCAACGGTGGTCCAGGATGTTCATCTCTCGAAGGACTATTCCTCGAAATGGGGCCATTCAGGTTTTCATTGCTTTTTGTTATGCAGGGCTTACCATTGCGTTGGGAAAAACTTAGGATCAGCACGAACCTCTTTTCTTCCTGGACAAATTATTCATACGACACCCTACTGTTACCTTTTATGGAAGTCTTTTGTAATCCTAGTTCCCATTAAAAAACCCGTACCTCCATCGACCAAGAAATCGTGACCTCTTCAACCAGAAAAACTGCTGAAATAGCAATATTTGCAAAATTCTCGAATTTTCTGCGAACTCCATGAAAATTTTCTTAAATACAGATTTTCTGTTCCCACCTCTTCAAAAGCATACAGCTAGCCCCTCTTGAAATTACGAATTCGACCACCCTTCCCGATGAATTTTCCCGACGAATGGCTGACCCTGTGACTGTTGATATTATTGATAGACCAGATGCATCCTATCGTTGCAGAGCGAAAAACTATGGTGCTAACATACTAAGAAACAAATGGACATGGAACCGGGTAAGAATAAGCCCAAATACCCTCAAAAAAGGAAAACTGCATTAGTGTTCAGGTCGCCAGCATAATATATTTGGACGCGCCGGCCGGTGTAGGCTTCTCTGTTGATTTGAACTCAACAGCCCACGTTTTCACTGATGACGAAGTGGCCCACGACAATTTGTTGGCTATTACCGAGTGGTTCAAGGTCACATACCATCCTATCTTCATTTTGTATGATCAATTTAATGTTTTGGTACAATGCTAGTCGAGTGGGCACGCCGATTTTCTGAACACGGTGGGCGCGAAATGGACATAAGCCGTTTGGATACAGTGAGCACACGAAGTCAGCATGAATTATGATGTTCCATTGTGTTGTTCCATCGTGAATTATGATGTTCATTTCCACAACCTAACATTGTACTTGTGCTGCGGCAGGAACGACGTATTTCACGCCAACTTCGTGTGCTTACTGTGTCCAAACGGCTTAAATCTGCGAAATGTATGTACGTGGGGACTGACACAGTTACACGCATGTCAAGTCTCTACACCCACCCCTACCACCCGAATTGGCTACACTCCCGCAGCTCACAAATTTTCCAGATTTCCTTGACATTATAGCAGTAGGCGCCAGTCCCCAATACATACTTTTTGCGCCTACCGTATTCAAAAAACCGGCGCACCCATTCGACTTGCATTGCACCACTGCACCTTTCATCGATTTTTTTCAGAAGTTTCCTGAACGCCAAAGGAATGATTTCTACGTAGCTGGCGAATCATACGGCGGAACATTCGTACCAATGCTCTCCGCTCTTTTGCTTAAAGACTTTCCTCAATTCAAGGTGTCAATACATTTTCCAATTTGACACTATGAACGAGCAAACCCATTATTGTCAAGGGGATGCTGATTGGAAACGGCTGTATGGATGAACGCCTGCTTTACAATTCACTCGTTGGATACAACTACGACCACACTTTCATTGATGAGAGGTAAGGTACTGTATGAAGAAAAAAGGCATCCAAAACGTCAATTGAATGAAAGATTGAGACAATAAGAAATGAAGATTCGTCGAATGAGAAAATATCCTTAAAAAATTGGTGAAAAAGTTTGAAAAAATCAAACAGAAAATCCAAAGGGCCGCTTCGGCAGTGCCAAATCAATGAAGATGGGCGGCCCATTTTGAGACAGGCGGCTCAATTTTTGATTTGTGTTCATGACCAACACCCAATAACCTGGTCTACAAATCTACACATGCTTTTACTATAGAAAACACCGTATGCTTAATCTAGTGAATGCCTCAGATTTCCGTACCGTCCCAATTCGCAAGGCTCTTGGCATAGCGCCAACAAGATTCCAAGTGGCGTATGTCGGTGTTTCTTGACAGCTGCTATATCTTCCTTCCATAAGGACAAAAGATGCAAAAAGCGGAAGTTTTCCGGAACCCACAGTACTCCTGGAGCACCCCTTCAACCGACCCTATATGTTTGCTTAACCAGCGACTTCACGATAAGGTCGGAGGTGAAAAAGGAGGAAATTGTCTAGTGGAAAAACAGGGGCCGAACCTCTCAAAATGCGGACCAACACACAAATTTCCGGAAAGGATATGACCTCGGCAACGTAGCATGGCTCGCCCCGCAGCGCTATCGGCGTGGCACGCCCATTGACTGCTAACCACTCGCCGCGATCTCTAGCCGTTTATCAACAGCCGATTGTGTTAGCACTGAAGAGGGCAGCACCGATGAGAGTCGCATCAATGCAGAAATCAACTGACAGGGAGAAAGGTTCCCACTTCTCGGGTTTTCGGCCGTTCCTCATGGTTTTCTTTTCATCCTGGCACGTTTGACCACCTCTACATTAGCTACGATGGCTTCCTTCAGATCGCAGACTTTGCCCTTGACTCTACTATAGCATATAAAAATGAATTCACAAAAAATTCACATGTACAAGAGTACAAATTTTTCAT